ACGATGAGATGTACTTTGGTAAAACGCTATGTGCTACGTTATGTAGATACTTAGAAATTGTATCTATTGATTTTTAGTAACATCAATATATAATAAAAATACTTTAAATATCGTATGAATAGGTTACTTGCAAATGACAGTTACAAAATATTGGAAGTAACGCTAAAATGGGGTGAATAGGGATCGAGAGGTGAATAGAGATAGAAGAGGGATGAAACGAGACTATGAAGAATTTCCCAAGATCTACCCCTCTTTTGTCTTTATTCACCTCTAGATCCCTATTCACCCCGTTTTACGGTAGCATCTATTGAATTACGTCAATATCAAATCTGTGTGTCAAAATAACACCATGTTAAAAACTCATCATCTTCATTGTTTTCTTCGCAACATACTGCAAAAGTACATTTATATGTCACAAAAATAACAATCCGTCGCGAATCTCCCGTCAAAATGTATCCTCATTTTTGCTAAGAAGAAATATTATACTATCGGTCCAATATCGTTTGTCATAAATAATCCGGGCTCCTTCATTATCGGGGTACAGATGAGACGGCCGGTTTTTTGCTAACATCGTGATTTATCCAAAGGAAATTGTCAGACAACTAATGGCTCTTTGTTTATTGATTTATATGTTGCAATATTCGGTAGCGGGAAGGGTCGATATAATATCGGTACTCGTCTTTTTACCGCCTGATTGAGCTACTGCATAATACGCCCACAAGAAAATGGCTATTCCAATCTCTCACAGCCCAACCCATTGAAGCCTTTTTAATTTGGATGCGTAATCAAAATTATAGGGTTCGTAGATCGGTGTGAATTAGCGAGTAAAATTTTAATGGGAACGGTTCTAGGATGTATCTTTATTAACTTTTTTTAGTGGTGGTGTACAGGAAATTATTTTGAAATTAATTAAATTTTTTGATATATTGTTTTTGAACGACGATAATAAAGTTTAGTACAAAAAGGTTTGGCTGTGAAGATTGGGTTTTATGAGACCTTGTAGTAATATTGATCAATGTAGAAATCATGACTTTAAGATAATTTGAACTTATCGGAATCAATCATCAGTCTAGATTCTATTGCCATTATTAAGACTCATTATCTCCAAAATAATTAACCTGTTCACCTTAAAAATGCTAAACAAATACACACACAGCTTGCATTTCACGACTGCTAACCAATCTAGAGCTACATTATTCAGTCACGAACATTCGAATGTCGTGCGAACATTGAATTTTTATAATGATTTATTTTCTACAAAGTGTACAGTAATAAAGCTCCCGTCGTAAAGATGTTTTTCGATAGTTTTATTTATTGATTGCATTTTAAATACAGTTACCTGCTTTAAACGCTATATCGGTACAACTTTCTCTTAAAGCATCGTGACAAATGCTCTAAAATTACACATTACTAAATGCGAAGTAATTAATGAGTCTGATAATGTAGCTAATTAGAAAAGAGGTAGCTAAAGATTCGTTTGGCATTTTAATACTGATTCAAAGAGGTTGCGTATGTAGCGATAAATAAAAATAATCGGTTGAGTATTTTTATCGCAACGAGAATTTGTTAAAAATTAGGGCTTTACGTAATTGGTAAATTGTTGAGTAGAAGTTCAAATTATTATTAATTTCGATTTTGTTTTATTTTATCTAGTCTATTGCTTAAGAGGATTGCAAGCTGAAATTTGGTTTTATATCTAAATAAAATCATAGCATTTTTTTAATAGAACAGAACTGTAACTTTTATACTGTCTCGTTGGCTAAGTGGTTGTAAGTGCGACGGTTGGGCAAAGGGAGTTTTCCCGGGCCGAGCAACATGGTTCTGGGTTTTTAAAAAATTCTGAGTAGTAGCACGGAGTCTGGAATTGTGCCCTCTGTATGGCAATAGGCTCACCTCCTATTATATGGGACTCATAATATGAAAAGTGGGTGTTACTATGTATAGTGACATTAAGTGCCGTAATGTGCACCTCCACCTTTCCCCTATTAAGGGATATATAACTATCGGGATAATTACTGTAATGTTATGTTATACGTAACATTTTAAGTTCACTGCAATAAAAAAATCAGAAGAACTTTATGTTTATCGGCAACATTGTACCAACATTTTCGGAAGATGAATTTAGCAGAATTGGCTAGTCTTTACTTTTTACAGTTCCTGATCTCGTTGGTCTCGTTGAACTCGTTGGTCAGTCCGACCACAAAATTAAAGCTGTCCACAAATCCACGACTAAAAGTATTTCGAACGCCCAAATTGAATGTTTTGGTGACCACAAAATTATTTTGACCGTTCCTACCATAAAAACAAATGGTCATTTAGTAGCATGGGAATCGTGGAATGACGATATGGTATTCAATTTATTCTTCACGCTCACCGTTTTACGGATCATCAGTAGTGTGATTTTTGTTCATTGTTTTTTCGTAGCGGCGAAGTTGAAAGGTGTTTAAATTATTTCGTGTTAATTTGAATTAAATTGCTGGCTCTTTATTGTTTAATTGTTGGTTCTCGTATTTGTATGTGTTACTGGTCACAATTAATTAACAGTTATCAGTGACGTTGTAAGTTTTTTTTGTAATCCAAGTTACGTTACGAAACATTTTTTGTTAAAAATTTAATTTGTGCCCTTAGTTCTCGGTAAAAGATATAGAATTTAATAATATCTTTAATAATACTCATACAACTTACAAAGAAACCTATCTGCTTCATTCACATTTTTTTTCAAAACGTCACGTGACAAGATTGTCGCTCGTGCGCACATTACCACCGCGCCTAATGTCACGAAATGATTGCTTCGTAACGCGTGTTAGGCTGCTCGCATACTGTCGACTAATGCCTCCGCGGTTACCAGCGGCAGCGGTCTCATTATGAGCGCGACAAAAAGTCGTAGCTATTATCGTAGCGATATGGTAATCTAAAGCTAGTAAGTTTTATGTATAAAGTAAGCACATTTATTTAGTCATTTTAAAATAGTAAACAATAGGATTAATGAAGAACTTAGTAAAAATGGACACACCTATTTCGCAACTTCCTATAAAGCATTATTATTTATATTAATCTTGGAATTGAAGATATGAAGCGATAATCGATTTTAAACTAAACCATATCCTGGTCTTATTGCTTTGCTATCAATATAAAATATTTACGAACAATTCATCTACCTAAAGGTCACACAAACATCACGTATTTAATTTCCTCTGAATGAACTCAGTACAGTAACCATCAAAATACCGCGACTCATTGGACCACATTGGAACCTAACAGCGAGTATCCTTTATTATAAATTCATTTGCGCTCAATGTGCGATGTCATGCCTTCGATTATTGCCTCTGATGGGCGTTATTAACGGTTTTATTGTTTTAAAAGTATTGATTTTCGTTTTTTGTAGGTCATTTTTATTGTTAGACTAATACTGGTAGAGATGTAGAATCGTTCGCATGAAATTGATTCAGTAGGTTAGTTTGATAGTATTGATAGTTTTAACAATAGACAAAGGAACTGGAACAGAATGGTCTATAGTAAATGAGTTTTATTTTATTTCCTTGTCTATGAAGGTGCTTGTAAAAAATCAAAGATATAGGCATGTATAAGAATATTGAACCTAGCCTGTTTCAGGTGCACAAGTAATTGTCATTTATGAACCAATTTATAAATAAATTCGGCTATAATTCCAGTTCCTGTCATTACATTCATAATAAACTTTCTATCGCCATGTAAGCTTATCCTGAAATCTATGTAATATATAATATAATATAGTTAATATATTTTTATACGAAAAAAGGAATTCGTGTTAGTTACACTTTTAGTAACTTAAGAACGGCTAAATTGATTTGGATGAAAATTTAAGGGGAGGTAGTGCTTCGAACCAGGAGATGGATATAGGTTTTTATCCAATACTTTTTTCTACTTTTTACTGAAAATCAAAACAATAAGATGAAGAAAATAAACTGCTGTAACTAACCACATTTAAGATTGATCTTTGAGAGCATCACTGCTCCCTACATCCACATGAACAACAACTCTAAGAATAACTCCCACCTTTATTGGCTCCCCATCATTCAATATAACTTCCTATGCGATCTGACATTCCCTTTGACCGTGACTTGCATCTCATTTAATGGAAGCCTAGACGTTTGAAGGACATTGCCTGTCGAAGTGTTCTAAGACATGATGTTCCTGAGCCGACTACTATGGATGAACCGGCAATGACTTATCAGTGATGGATTTACAGCTTACAGTGTACACACATCAAGTTATCCCACCAATATAAACTGACCGTCGAATATTCGGAAAGATGATATAAAGCCAGACCATGATAAATTGGTTTTGGATAGGTTGATGTGTTGTTTGAACATAAGCAATACAGGAGTTTTTTATGCACTTAAAATTACGTCACAATTTTATTGGTTCAATGATAAATTTTGTTTTGTGTTACGTAATTCTCATCATTAAGTAGTTTAACTACTGATCATTTATTTTACAAAATGCTTCTTGTTATATAAATCTGTATTAGTTCCTTTTATTATATTTACAATATTTTAACTCGTCAAATACCGTCATTATAGACACAATTATAGAACAATAGGTTGCGGTCACCGGTGACCGCTTGGTGTATGACAGTTAAATTGTGGGAGAGCCATGCTTCGGCATGAATGAACGCTTGCGTTGTGTTTCGTCGTGTGAGTGAGGTTACCAGAGGCCCAATCCCCAACCATTACCCAATGCCTGAATCTCCAATAATCCTCAAATTTCTTATCATAATATATGCATTGTTTAGCTTGATTTTAAAACATAACCTTAGATATTATTTTGTTTCCGCCAGCAGGTCATTTAAGATAGATCACAAATTAGATCCAGACTCAAAATAACTATAAAGTCATAGTCGATTTACATCAAACACTTTGCAGCTGAAGAATGATAGCAAAGAAATGATACTATATTTTTAGAATTCGTAATACATGTTTTTTTGTTACAAAGTTTAACTTATTTTTTTTCTTTCACAGGAGAAACCACACAAGTGCAGTCTCTGTTCCAAGTCATTCCCAACTCCTGGAGACCTCAAGTCCCACATGTACGTGCACAGCGGCTCCTGGCCGTACAAGTGCCACATATGTTCCCGGGGGTTCTCTAAGCACACCAACTTGAAGAACCATCTCTTCTTGCATACTGGTAAGTTTACAACCAATACAATATGAATCCTTTACAAGTATCTTCTTCACAATAAAATACCTACGAATGTTTGATTTAGAAATTTGATTTAAGATTTACGGCACTTAATATCACTGTACAATGTACATACCTAACACCCACTTTTCACTATTTATGTTATGGATACCATGTAATAGGGGGACAGCCTATTGCCATATACAGGGCACAATTCTAGACTCTGTGCTACAACTGAGAATTAAAAAAAACCCATGAATACTTTGCTCGACCCAACGAAGCAGTCAATTCGATAAATACAACACAAATAAATAGAAAAAGCTATTGACAAATGTATTATTTTGGGTAGTATTTAAAGCTAAGGCAATAAACGCTTATTTTTTCTGAAATTAAAATTTTGAAGTCTAAACACAGAATTCAATTTCGGGCAATTTATAAACATCAAATCGATGGTCAAATGACGATCAATCAATTGATTTTTAACATTTCATTTTCTTTTGTTACAGCTAAGCATCAAAGAAACAGTGCAAGAGACGCCACCTGAATGGATTCAAGACAGATTCGTGCATAAGTTACATCTATGCAGATATTCAATTATAAATCAAGACTTAACAACGTCTTACAAAATATAAAAGTGTGATATTAGATTAATAATTTAATTATAAGTGTTATCTATTTAAGTTATATTTATGATTTGCTTATTTAGAATTTAAAATTAGGGAAATAACAACTGATAATTCGGGGGCTTTTTTGAAATGTAGTTTTTTTGTAAGTGTACATTATTTTTCGTTTTATAATTATACGGTTTCATGGACTTTTTGGGGGTGTAAAGTTTTTTTTTAATTATTTATTTTTAGTATCTTGGAGTGAAAATAAGCGAAATCAATATTCTGATATTATTATGTCCTTTAGTTTTATAGATGTTACGTAGCATAATTATTATTGGTATCTATTTAATATCATAAATAATAAATTACAAAATTATTTTATAAGCATAAGAAAGAATTTTTTAAATATGTTTTACTATCGATATGATATTTATCTCAGCGATATATATTATGAGGTTTTAAAAAATGTACGATAATATTTTTTTTTTTATAATTCACATTTTTTCAATTTATTTTACAAACTTTTGGCACAATATCGAAACAACTACATAGTGTTATGTAGAAGTAATTATGTAAATAATAGTACATAAGGGCTTAGGTATAATATACCTACATTGAGTATGTATATTGTGATTTCGTATCCGTCCGTTATTTTGTAAATATTGTCTTAAGATGCTATCATGCAACGAATTATTAAATTATGAATATTATTTATATTTTTGGATAAGTATTTCAATAAATAAATTACTATAAATTAATGTGGATTTTATTTTATTCGTATTTACCCTACCAAAGGAAAAGTATTGTTATTTAATCCCACATTAAAACGAACTAAAAATCAGTTTTTAAACACAGTTAGATTATTATTCATATATAATAATAAACATGTTTTTATTTCCTACACAGATAGGTAATCCATTAATTATTAAATCAACATTGATACTAAGCTGGATGATTAAGTAAAAGAAAATAGGTAATCTAATACGAAGCATTAAAATTCATGGTCGTAGAATCTTAGCATGATGTTGGTACAATCTTCTTAATCTTCCATACATTTAATCACCATATTTTTTTATTTGTTTAAATGTTACCCATACACACATAAAATGTTACATACTAGGACTTTCTACTGTGTGATTGATGCATTTAAAAAAAACATATAATTTCGAAAATACACATGTCACAACCCATAGCCGAAACAACAATAATTGTGGATAATACAAAAAGTGGCTCCATGCGGGAATTGAACACACTACATGTTGCGCGGCAGCCGCTTGCTCAACCACTGTGTGGTACAATTATTGAAACAAAATGAAAAAAAACAATACATAAGATTACCTACTACTTACTTATATTATAGATTTCAGTAAACCAAAGCAGCGACCAATAAATCAATAAATACAATACAATTTTATTGACTACAAAATCATTCGCATTGGATAATAAACATTTTGAAGAGGCGTAACATCACAATGTAAAATGACAACCTACCCAATCAGCAGAAGAAAGATTACACAATGACTGTCGATGTCCAACCAATAACATTAAGTTACACTTTCTAGTCCACTAGGGGTAGGCAGAGAAGACTAATTACACAGTCATAATTATTACGTTGACCATGACTGTTGTTTGTAAGTTAGTCATTTCTCTAGTAGGAGAGCAATGGCCTAATCTTTGAAGCCTTTGTTAGACAGTCGCTCTTACGACTACTGGACTAAGAACTGCCTAATATTATCTAATGGCATCTTTAAACCAGTCCATAAAACCTCATAAATGTCATCATACGTACATCATGACTTCCTCTCATCTGGCCCCATCGCAGTCATGTCAAAGCAGCGTGAAGCCAGCAAATCTAATCGCAATTTAAAACGTACCTTTATATTTAGAAGTTTCTCGAAGCGAGTAGGCGTTATACACGCAAGCCTTCGACTGATTTGCATAAAACAACTCCAGTAGACTGTATTAAGACTTAATTGTTGGTGCCGCGGTGTGTCCGTGCGTTGTGGGACGCTACATGCACCGGAGACTCGATAAAAGCCATACCAACATTTCATTGGCGAGGAAATTCAATGTAGAACGTTATTTATTGGTAGATTTTATTGTTACGATTTTATTTCGTTTTTGTGATGAATCATTGTGTGGATAATCAGCATTTTGTTCTGTTGATATTCGTCGAAGATATTGAATAAAATGAGCGAACGTAACATGTGCATAATTAAATTAGTGGTTGTTCTAGGCTGTATACGTGTACAATTTGTTACTTAGAGCTGTAAATTTTCCGTATAAAATAAAGTAAACCAAATATATTTTTTTATAAACCGACGTTAACCCCCTTTTTTAAGACTTTTAATTAACATACTAAGACCTTCTCCTGTGTGTAACACTTTTCTGAAAACCGCGTCAAATTCAAATCGGTTCAGCCAATCGCGAGATATTCGCACACAAACATACATACATACATAAAAGTCAATCTAAGAACCTCCTTGTTTTTGAAGTTCGCTTAAAAATTGAATTTAATTACTGGGCTTAAGCATACACTTCTATCTTTGCATCAATATATCAATGTATCAAGATAAAGGAGTCGTCGCACACACTTTGGTAACCTCTGTCTTAAATAATTAGCAAACCACCTGTATTTTAATCAACAAAATATTAACTCAGGCAATAAAGAATGAAGTACAACTGACAACACCTCTAATTTACACCGTCTGCTCGTCGCGTCGCAAATAACCTAAAAAACCTAATTGCAAAACTAGTAGAATCTCAATTAATTATATAAATTGGATGGTAATATAAAATGGTTTACATAACTGGGTCCAGTAAATAGTGGCTGACATAATCACTTTTAACTTTCACCGCGTCAAAACTAATAAATTAAACTTATTGATTTATTTAAAACGATTCTCTAATGACGATGATAAATGCTATTGACTTGAGATGTTCAGTTTTCGTGAATCTATACAGCGTGCTTTTGTTTTTGGGGGACCAAATAATTTACTGATGAACATGAATTTTGGAACGAGCAAATAGTTTTACTAGAGGACTGACCGACAGATATTGAAACTTTTCTGGTGTTCTATGGCTGTCGATAATCGTTTACCATCAATTTTTAGTTCGTACACAATTAAACATTTTCTTCAATTAACGAATTTTGAAAGGACAAATTCTTCAAAATTGATAACTGTAAATAATTATGATCAAAATTCAATTTACACTCGATACTTGAATCGATCAATTCATATGCATCGAAAACATCAACAGCAATCGGTCAACAACTATGTAATTTTACACGATATTGCATCTATAAACGGGGCCATTTATAAAACCCATGCTAATGCAGGCATTATGAATGTGGAGTACCCTTATACGCCCACTGGTCGCTTGAATCAGTAGTAAGTTCTCAATGTGATAGTGGGCGAACTCATTGCTGTTTGAATTTGCAATCTAGAGCTATAACAGATTTTTTGTGCAAAAGAAAATTACGTTGGCATGTGCGTTCGAGATCTGCGAATGTAGTAATTTATTGAGGTTCTGTAAACAATTTGATAATACATACATACATACATAACATCACGCCTTTTTATTCCCAAAGGCAAAGGTGCACATTACGGCACTTAATGCCACTGTACAATGTAACAACCACTTTTCACTATTTACGTTATGAGTCCCATGTAATAGGGGGCTATTGCAAATATACCCGGCGCAATTCCAGACTCCGTGCTACTACTGAGATTTTTAAATATCCAGTAATACTTTGCCCGATCCGGGAATCGAACCCGAAACCCCTTGCCCGGCAGTTGCAATTGCGACCACTCGGCCAACGAGGCAGTCGATTTGATAATAGAGAAAAATTTGATAATCGTATGAGAATCTTATATTTAGTATACAGTAACAGTAGTAGTATTTTTACTGGACAGTTATTGCGGTGGGCAATCGGCTGTCGCGCAAGGTGTAGGGTTCGATCCCCGCACGACGCTCTTTGTGTGATTCACATATTGTTGTTTCGGGTCTGGGTGTCATGTGAATGTGAACTTGTATGTTTGTTAACTCATCCACAACACAGGAGTAAATTCTAGTGTAGGCCAACTTATTTGAAAAAAAAATTATAAACATTTTAACTATATTCGAATTGAGCTTGAATAGACAACATAATGCATATAAAATTTTTGGTATCCAAGCTGTTTTTTTCTTCTACATTTAACTAGGGATTATTATATAAAAAAAAACAAGAAATCTAGATAAAAAGAAATAAAAACATTGAAAGCTACTCACTTATAGGATAGTAATGTAATGGAATTAAGAAACTGAAATCATTAGTGACAAAAAATTGAAGACAGTAGATTCTAGCAGCAGTATTAGCTACAGTAGCAGTGCGACAGTCACCGCGTCGCGAGTCGCAAAATGCTGCTCATGAATATAAGCCTCTAGTATGGCTTGAAACTAGTCGAGTTCTTCGTCAAATAAATACGTGAGTAAGCCGAAAACATAATAATATATTTAGTATGTCCCACGAAAGTTATACTTCAAATACAGTAGATTCTCACAACTTCTCGCAATTTAAAACAAACAATATTGAACTTTAACTGTACCTACCTACATGATCAAAATCCCTCTAATAACAGTTCATACCATATAACTACAGATTAATCCAACAAGACACATCAATCAGTAACATTATAAATCTTGTAGGATGATACAATTATTAAGTTATAGTGCCGGGTGGTCCATTGCCTATTGCACCCATTAGACCACCAAAACGTTTGGCCCCGGTAAACGATCACGATCGATGTTAAATTAAACTATTTCTTATTAACTATTAGAACAATATAATTTGAAAGCTTTGCTTCATACTGTGTGGGTTGGTATATCAAAGTGATGAATAGTATTTGTTCGTAATAATCATATTGTGAAAATCTATTTTATGTAAGATTTTTGGCTTTCATACATATATACATAATATCACGTCTTTTATTCCCGAAGGGGTAGGCAGAGGTGACACTGTACAATGTAACACCCACTTTTCACTATTTATCTTATGAGACCCATGTAATAGGGGCCGTATACCGGGGACATTTCCAGACTTCGTGCTGCTACTACTACTGAGGTATTTTTTAAAAAACCCAGTAATATTTGACCGACCCGGGAATTGAACCCGAGACCCCTTGTCCGGCAGTCGTACTTGCGACCACTTGGCCAATGAGGAAATTTTTGGTTTATGGTAAATAATTATAGTTTGAAGCTGGACTTTAGCAATCTATCTTTAGATGATTAAGAGGAGTGATGAACAAACCACATAAGGCAAGTCGATT